GATACTTGCTCTTGGAGAGAAGGCTACCTTAGACGAACGCTTGCGCAAAAGGTTAGTTCAAAAGAACTGCCGAATCTTGTCAAGCAGCGACAAGGACAGACAAGGATGAGCCCTCCTGGCGTGTCTGGCAATCTTAACTTCGTGCGGGAGGGCCAAGTAAAAATTTTGACGCGACGGGCTTGGAGCCCATTGGCGGCGAATGAGTGGCCTCAAGGGCCTTTGACATGAGGGCGCACACTCAACACTCGCATGCCTGGCCACAAAATCCTGGTATGACCACAGGAAGCGTTGAGCATGACATGGCTCACCCTGACCATTGCATTACTTACACCTCGTGCAGTTGACGGTGCGTAGAGCGTGCAGTTCATTGGGCTGAAACTGAGAAGTGCTCCTCCTGGTTATCTCAGTTGGAGCACCACACTCTTAATATTTACCAATGCAAGCTGTGGGTTCTGGATGGTTACATCATGACACGGACTAATACATGCGTCCACAGCAGCGCGTGAAGGACTTTGAGCCCACTGGTGGCGAATGAGTGGCCGCCAGGGCCTTGACGTGCCTTGACGTGAGAAATGTTGGGCCCACTTGTGGTGGATGAATGGCCTCAAGGGCCTTCACATCAGGGATCTTGACGCGAAGGGCTTGGAGCCCACCGGCGGCGAATGAATGGCCTCAAGGGCCTTTGACATGAGGGATCTTGACGTGAAGGGCTTTGAGCTGACGTGAAGGGCTTTGAGCCCACTGGTGGCGAATGAATGGCCTCAAGGGCCTTGACGTGAGGGACCTTGACATGAGGGGCTTTTAGCCCACTGGTGGCGGGTGAATGGCCTTCAGGGCCTTCACTCCAGGGATCTTGACGTGAAGGGCTTGGAGCCCTCAGGCGGCGAGTGAACTGTGACCTGGGGGATCTTGACGTGAAGGGCTCTAAGCCCACTGGTGGCGAATGAATGGCCTCAAGGGCCTTGGCATGAGGGTTCTTGACGTGAAGGGCTTTAAGCCCACTGGTGGCGAATGAATGGCCTCAAGGGCGTTGACATAAGGGATTTAGACGTGAAGGGCGTTGAGCCCACTGGTGGCGAATGAATGGCCTCAAGGGCCTTGGTATGAGGGTACTTGA